ACTATATGCACAAAACAAATTTTACAAGATCGTTTTGTGCATACAGTTGCAGGAGTACGTGCCAAATCGATTTAGAAAAACGGACAATGACCTTTCGCTCGTTTAACCAACAAATCTTCAATATATAGGCACTTTTTATATGTACTACTTTCTTTATTTATAATGATTTTTTTATTTATTTATATAATGATTGATATAATATATATTTAATAACTATTATTAAAAGTTATAAAAAATCGCTGTAGAAGAAAAATCATCTATTGTTATAAAGTACTTTGTTTATTTAACAACAAAAAGCATTAATTTATAACAGTATATTATATAAGAACTTTATTTTTATTCGGTGCATGCGGTGCGGACCGGTCCAAAAAAGTGACAAATCTCTGGCTGCCATTGTCACGTTTCTTTTAGAACGAACTGACGTAACGCGCGTTTTGTTTATTTTAAAGGAATGAATTTGCAAAAGCTCAATATGGTGATTATATTGCTTCAATTTTTTTTAATATGAAACGGTTATTAAATGAATTGCTGCGTCACTTACCATAAATTGAAATATAAAATATAACACATTTTTCGCGATTTACCGTAAGATTTTGTGATGTTTATAGGAACCACAGACAATATTATTTAAGAAACAAAAAAAAAACATGTGCTGAGCTAAAAGTGAATAATATCAACATTTAAATTTTGTTGTCACCTCTATATTTTTTTAGATGTGACAACAATATATATAATAGTTACGCCTTTTGACACTCGGCTCATATCTGAGGTCATTGTCCGTTTTTCTCAATTGATTTGGCACGTACTATAGCTGCAGAATTAAGTGATCAAAGGTAAATCATAAAAAATAAAACTCAATTTAAAAATAAAAATCATCTTTATTCAGGCAATTTACACCCATAACCAGTAAAATCAATGAATTAAAAATTAAGCAATCTACACAATTTTAAAAATAAATAAATAAATGTCGATCAATCAATAAATTTCATCAAAGTAACAATTTTAAAATAATAAACCCAACATTCTTTACAAGTAGGCAGTAATAACAGTATATAAAATAAATTAATCGAAATAAAATAAAATAAAATTTAGTTTATTTAACTAAGCTCTTGGTATTTAAAATAATAAAGCAACTTATGTACTACACAATCATAAGAAAAATAAAATAAGATGCACAGATTACAAAAAAAATAGTACAATAGACAAAAAATTGGCAATTTTTATAAAAAAAAAACTTAAATATCCAATATCTTGAAAATGGTTAAGTTTGATGTATGATGTTTCACAGTCGAAACAGTCGGTAATGATGCAAACTACAACCCCCTAAAGGATCTAGGTCGACTTAATCTGTAACCCTATCATATTATATATTATTATATTTCAATATTTATCTACTATGTTCCAAATTATGATTCAAAATGCAATCGACTTGCTACAATTAAATTTATTTTTACTAAACTGTAGTACAAATTTTCTAAGTTTTCTATATAAATATAATGTTTTGTCATTTTAGTTTCAGGCTTGAAGGTGACTAAGCCCAAAAGGACTCAAATTAGTACAAGAATTACTGTGTTAAAAAAGAAACTATAAGCTTGAATATAACAAACGAGAAATATTCAAAAAGACCGAAAGAAGGCAATGAATCTGTCAGAAAATACTACTTTCTTGAAAGCAATTAAAAGTTTTACCTCAATGGCAACAATTTTTACGATGCTCCAATTTCAAGAATGTGGTAAACACAAAATGGGCAGACGATTCACACCTGATGAAAAAGTAATGGCATTACATTTTTTAAACGTGGGCCAAGAGCCTAGAGGATGCTGCAAAAGATATTTGTTCTGCCATCACTTTTCACCTTAAGCAGGATGGTGTCTAAGGCCAATATTAAGCCTGGTATAAATGAAAACATATTTTACCAACTTAAGAAGCAAGCATCTAAAATGAAAGCCAATGATAAATTGTGTACACCGGTTTTTGAAGAAATGGCCTTACCACCACATATTATGACAGGAAAAATGACAATGGTGATGTAGTGAGGACAGAAATAGCTGATCATGTGCTAGTGTTTATGATTAGAGGTATTCTAAAAAACTATAAACAGCCGATATCATATTCATTTTGCGCTGGCAGTACAAAAAAAGCTGAATTAGCCTTAATGATTAAGAGAAATATAAGAAAATTGAAGGAGTCTGGCTTTAAAGTCCTTGTTACTGTATGTGACCAGGGAACATCAAATGTTAGTGCCATTAACTACTTGATTGAACAAACAAGTTTGGATTATGCAAGAGTAGGTAAAGAAGCAAGGGATGGAGTATTTGAGGTTGATAATGAAGAAGTGGTACCATTGTTTGATTTGCCTCATTTATTAAAATGAATCCGAGATAACTTGCTCACTAAAAATTTTAAATATGCTATGGAAGGCACTGATAGAATCGCAAAATGGGACCACATTATGGAACTCTTTGTATAAAAGCATACCCTACATATAAAGGCATAAAATTAATTAAAAAGACCATAATATATAACCGATTATTCGTGGGTGCCTGACCCTAACCCACACTCAAGCTGCTATAAAATGAAATGAATGATTTTTATTCAATATAGATTATTGTATAATACTTATTGAAAGTAATTTTTTTATTTACCACTGGTTCGCAAAAGAAACCTCTGTTCTGGGAAGAACCAGCAAGAAACCAAGCAAAAATTTTTTTATGCAATGCATGCGTACTTATGTGGTCACCTGCATGGATTTTAGCTATAACTAGAGCCGGTAGGTGGCGTTGCTATAAAGATACAGATATTGTTGCGCGCCTAAGTTGATGTCTGGTACCTGGCACTAGCGCCATCTAGTGTCGGGGAACAGAGCGAGGAGAGCTTTCCAGAAAATGCCATGACTGAACTTTCAGCCAACAGCGCCATCTACTATCGAATAGAAGAACGCCGTACGAAGCTGGAGTGAATCACTGGTACAATAATTTGCTGAGTGATATGAAGTCTAAGCAGACAAAGTAATGGAAAAAGGGTAGCACTGTAATAAAATAAAATGAACCAAATATTACCTGCTAAGTATCCCATGTTAGATGCCACAGTACGGCTAAATATTTGAGAAGCAAATTTCACTCTCATTTTATTTAGTTTTTCAGGGTTTTCAGTTACATGTCAGAGGAGGAGAGAGCATGTATGCGTAGATATATGGATGTAAAGGAGGCGAAAGAGGTATGTCAGGATCGTGCCAAATGGAAGTCCGTAATCTCTGCCTACCCCTCTGGGTGACAGGCGTGAGTGTTTATGTTATGTCAGAGGACATGATTTTCAGTTAACTTAGGGACCAATTTGATACGCTTGTAACCAGGGTTTTCATTATATAATAATTGTAAATGAGACCATTTCGCGGTTTTTATCATGCCTTCTTTAGTGTATATTCAAAATTTTTTGGTAATAAGGTTATTTCTCATTCCTTTGAGGTGTGGGGGGTCATACAAATAAACCCCTCTAGTCTCATTTATCAAAAGTTTAAGAGCCTGTCTATTATTGGTTCCCTGATCACATACTGAGGCCACCACTATCAACCCTGCTTCTTGCAATCCCGTCACAACCTTTTTATTTGTTTTGCCAACTCAGGTCCCTTAGTTGCACTTGATGAAAAAGTGTAAGAGACTGCCTGTTTGTAGTTAGTACAAGACCACGCACCATAAAAACTTGGGCGTGATCTGCAAACTCCGCCTTTCTTTTCTGCCCATTATCAACAAGTCCTGATATTTTATCTTTTCTCTCTTGATGTGTAATTTTGACTTTGAGTGAAATTTTGTCAAAAAAATAATACTTAGCTTCTCTTGAGGTTTCATTGACTCAGCTTTCGTCTTTAGTTGTGATAAAACGTTATTGATTAAAACTAAATTTACGGATTCTATCGCGTTAACCCTTTATAAGGCAGAGAGAACCAGAAAAGGTTCGAAAATGAAATTTTAGTATGTTGTTAAGGACACACATATAAGCATTTTTGCGAGTTTTTCGGTTCGGAAAATCTTCGGAAAATAAACGGAAAAATTGGTGACACAATATGTCCCTCTGCCCATCCGAGGTAGCAGTAAAGTGGCATAATTTAAGTAAATTAAAGACGATGTAGTTTGTTACAATATATTTATTTACTTAAAATCACAAATATTATTAAAAAGGGACAATAGATGTCTTCAAACTTAAATATCTTCAGTTAGAAAGAGTTTACTAAATATAGGAATGCTTTTCTCTAACTCTATACTTCTTATAATTAGGTTTATTTTTTTGAGATCAATCAACTTTGGCTCTTATAATTAGTTGAATACAATTACAAAAACTGAATTGATTTTTAAGGTTTCTGATGAAATTGACTGAAACAGGGATAAGCGCAAAGAAATACCTTGCATGTCGTGCAGGAGAAATAGGTTTTTTTTGTTATTTGTCTTAGTACTGCACAAACGGCACCTGTACCGCGTGTTAGACTTGTCAATCAGGTGTATTCCGACGACTTTGTATCGGATATCATCAGGAACTCCTACAGGTTTTTGATAGTGAGGACTGACCGCGACGCGATTCTTCTTGGCGACAAAATTAGGTGCGCTACCTAAGCTCCTAATTCTCGACTAGTAGTCGCTGATAAGTGACCTGGCTAACATTACGCGAAATTGCAAATTTGTCAGCTTTACCGGATTTCTACTCGAAGTCAAGTACAATATGTACGCGTTAGTGATAGCTAAGTCAATCAAAAAATAAAAGATTCGACACCACCAACGTCTGTTTCGGCGACCAACTTCATAGGAACCACGTTGTTGGTCAAACCTATCCACCCCTCCCATCCTCTTTGTGTACTCAGCCGCTGCCAGAGGACAGGGGATTTTTTTCTTGGAACCATCTTTCATAGTTCTTTGACATTCGGTTTTTTGTTTAGGGTGAAATGCTATACTTAAAAAATGCACATTTTTCGTGTCTTTCCAAACCATGAATGCTACGTCATTTTTCACTCTCTATATATATTGTTCTCTTGTAAGTTTTAGTTTCTCTTTCCGTTCTTTTTCTTTCTTTTTATCATTTTTGATGGGTTTCATAAACTTTGGTAAATCCGCTCTGTTCAAATTTACTGTTGCTGTGGAGTAAATTCCTTTTTCATAAAGGTATTGCATTAGTGGATACGAAGCAAAGAAGTTGTCAAATGCTAAATGAACAGTGACCTCTTCTTCTATCAGGCTTTTTGACAAAGATTTTACAACATTTGATCCTAGACCGAACTCAGGTGTACTGTCGTCATTTTTGCCTGTATAAATTTGAAATTCATAGACGTATCCAGTAGAGCTATCTGCCCTAACCCAAACTTTAAAACCTCTCTTTATGGGTTTTGCTGGCATATACTGCTTCAAAGACGAAATTCCTTTGAATCTAATCATTGCCTCGTCGATACTTTGTGATGTGGATGTTCTAGCTTCATTTTTGCAAGCTGTGTTCAGCATTTCCAGTAACGGGCGAACTTTATATAGTTTGTCGTAGTCTGGATTTGATTTAGAAGGGATTTGGGAATTATCATTAAGATGAAGGTTTTCCAATATTTTTTTAAACCTTTTACAGGTCATTATTTCTGCCACCTCATTTACTCTAAACAACGGGTCACTAGACCAGTATAAATCGATGGAGGGTAAAACATGGAGGCCCGTAATTATAATCATTCCAATAAAGGCTTTTATATCAGCACTCGTCGCTGGTTCCCACTTCATACTCTTTTTCTGGGCTGCATATAAGTTCGTTTGCTCAACTTTATGATTGATTACCTCGCCTGAAAAAAATCTGGAAAAATACACGATCGGCGCTGTCCTGCTTGGAAAGAAATCTTTCGCTTTCAGTGGTATCCGATCGTAGTCTTCAGCTTTAGGTCTACTCTCAGCTGACCACATGATTTTTTTCCATTCGTCGTCGTTACCATCATCTGCTGAGGTTTCACTCTGTGATTCGTTTTCCGAGGACGACGAGGATTCTGAAGAGTATAAGACGTATAAGACCACGCATCATAAAAACTTGGGCGTGATCTGCAAACTCCGCCTTTCTTTTCTGCCCATTATCAACAAGTCCTGATATTTTATCAACAAGTCCTCTTGATGTGTAATTTTGACTTTGAGTGAAATTTCGTCAAAAAAATAATACATAGCTTCTCTTGAGGTTTCATTGACTCAGCTTTCGTCTTTAGTTGTGATAAAACGTTATTGATTAAAACTAAATTTACGGATTCTATCGCGTTAAACGCGAAATTTAGTTTTATTCAATGTGTATTGTTCGCGTAAATTTAAGATATCATTATGTGAACCAGTACAGACTTCTAATAGCAAATAAAATTCGCCGATTAGAAGATCTTAAAACCAAGCGCGCAACATATATAACATCTTTAAATTTCTTGAAGAGATGCAGAGGCCATAATCTCATTCCTACGTGTGTCAAAATATCAACAAAAAAGGACATTCGAGGAAGCGCTAAGATCTTAAATCAGGCAAGTAAAAATGCGATAGAATCCGTAAATTTAGTATTATTCAATGTGTACTGTTCGCGTAAATTTAAGAAATCTATATAGAAAATGTTATCATTAATTTCAGGCCTAAAATTACTCATTTGTATCATTTAATAAGAGTTTGTTTAGCTGGTAAAATAAAAAAATTCCTGAGGAATCGATATCCTTTGGGACTTTGCATCAAAATCGATAAAGCAGCAATTTTTCCTGTAATGTAAAACGGCGTCCTTTTTCCTTTTTTCGGTTCTCACGCCATAGTAATTGCATCAATAATTTTGCAGTACTTGAACAATTTTCGAGGACATCTAAGGCAGCAGGATTAGTTACTAATTTTTTTGCTGCTTTAATATTGCCTGTCTGTTTTTTAACTTTGTTTTTCATTTTACAAATGTTTATTCTTGCAGTTACAAGTTTCTTATGTATTTCTTTTTCTGTCTTTGTTAAAGATCTTTGTTTGGTATTTTTCTTGGCAGCCTGTTTTTCTCCTGTAAAGAATGAAATACCGAGACATGGTTAATATATTATACCGCATATATTTTCTGTAAGGGTGTATGTTTAATAAACTTAACACAAAATTCATAATTTTAATATCTAGGTTTTGTTTTCAAAATCAAAACTATTATTTTTATTTGTGTTCAATCATCACTTCATTAATGACACTAATGTGACACTTTTATGTTCCATACTTTTCACTGGAAGATTTGAAAATGGCATATTATGCTCATGCTGCATCAATGTATCTGGACCTGAAATGGGTGTGAATTTATTTTATTTTTGTTATAAATGTTCCAAACAAAATAGATAAATGTTTTCTTACTTTAAATGAATCAATCAGGCATATAATTAAATGGTTCCAAATAAATTGTTATTGTTAATTTAGAAACTAAAGCTAATCAATTTTTTCCTCAATCAAAACCAAAACTATAATAATTCAATATGAAAATAAAATTTAAGCACAAGTAAAAGAGATAAGTTGAATGTCATGGATAAACAATTTATTTTAAATCATAATAATAACTACATGAATATTTTGTAATTTTAATTTGCTGACATTCTGTAAAACAATGGATGCATTTTAAACAAAATTTATTTAAATTCTATTTGAATGTTGTTATAGGTATACTAAGCCTGGCAAGATATGGATCACGTTGTATTTTTATTTTGTAATCTTGTTTCCATTACAGTAAACGATTATGATTTCTGATTAATGCCTATGGATATATTTTGTAAATAAGTCAAAACTCAAGTATCTGTGCATCACCTGCCTGTACACAATTTTAATCGTAACTTCTGCACAGATTTTATTTTGGTTGTTACTGATAAAGAGTTTTTCAGGAAAAATGTGGATAATAAACTTTTATGTAGACGGTAAAACACCATGCAGCAACTCTCTCTCCTCCTGTCCTGTACATCTATATAGGTATCTATGCATACCATGTTCGGCCTTATTTCTTAATTAAGCCTATCTTCAATATATCACCAATTTGGTCGATTGACTTTTTTGCGTCCCTGCTTTGTCATTATTTCTACTTATCCAAACCACCGAAGCATTCCTTTCTTAATCCTGGTCACAACATCTTACACACCACACTTTTCTCTTATTTTTCACTTTGCATTCAGATTCAGCCCTAACATACCTGTGAAGGTATTTTAGGGCTGAATTTATTCTACTCTCATGCTTCTGTCACACCCGAGTTTCTCTACCATACATTAAGATAGTGACTAAAGCAGCATTGTGAATTGCCATTTTTTCACACATTGTGGAATCGATTACCACCAGACATGTTTTCGGACTGATACGACTTGGGGACCTTCAAGAATAGAGCTTACTCTTTTTTGAAAGGCCGACAACACATCTGCAATTTCCCTGGTATTGCAGTTGTTCATGGACGGCGGTAGTCGCCAAAGGCTACAATATTATATTTATATAGTCACTTAGTCAGGTGAGCCGCTTGAACGCTTGCACCGTCTCCTATAAAAAAAAATCTAACCACTCACAATATATTAAACTATACCGAAAATTTAAGGAAAATCTTCACGTTTTAACCGTAAAATGTAAAGTTACTAAAATGTATAGTCTATAATCTAAAAATATATAGGTATACGCTTCTACGGTTACGATTCAAAATTTGTCATATTGTGTTACTAGCCCGGCTAGCTCAGTCGGTAGAGCATGAGACTCTTAATCTCAGGGTCGTGGGTTCGAGCCCCACGTTGGGCGATACATATATTTTTATCTATTAATAAAACAAATAATTTTTATTACTTCATCATAAGAAGGTAAATGTCCACAGCTGGACGTTAGCTTTTCCCACTGCAAGAAGGATTTGCCATAAGCCACACATGGCAGGGAGATTGACGACTGTAGTATACCTAGCACCAGGGGTTTTGTACCCTTGACGCTTGCTCTGCGCCGGCTATCTAGATATCGGAAAGTATGAAATTATTCTAGCAATTCCAATCATCGAATTCTGTTATTAGTGGATTTCGCACTGTCGGCTCTTATAACACCCACGCCACGGGGATGGGTTCTGTTACGCCGCCATCATACTGCTGAAAACACTAAACCCAAATTCTACAGACTTGCAATAAAAAAAATGAGTGCATGAGTATAGATTATGCTGACACTAACCTTTTCCTACGTAGTGCAGGTATATTATGGTTGTAGCACGAATGGGTCGGCTTGACCGTTAGCTTTTAAGTTGCCACTACACGTCAAAGGAAAGGTCCACTAAAGTAAAATATTATTAAATTTATCACTATGTTATTTTATATATAAAAGCATGCAACTGACTCATAGATGTGAATGTGATGTGAGTTATTGAAATATACTATTTCTAATTCCTAACTTTTATTATAGGTAGTCTCGTTACTAAATTACGCTTATACAACACGTAACATAAATAACGCACTTTGAGAAAGTAGTTTGTTCAGAATCGTTTACTGAATCGATTCCTATCATTTTTAATATGGGTAATTTTTTATCCCAAAAATAATTAAAACTACGTATGATTAAAACTAATTTTACGGATTTTATCGCGTTTATTTTTGCTTTTAATTACTTTTATTTTTAATTCCCGACGTCTCGGGCGCTTTCCAGCACCCATGGTCACGGGGGACTGAGATGACTGACGTCCCGATGTTATTGTTAAACCCGGAGTACCTTCAGCTTTTTTAATTATTGTTTATGGTCCGATCTGTGCACCATGTGCGTGACCATGGGTGCTGGAAAGCGCCCGAAACGTCGGGAATTAAAAATAAAAGTAATTAAAAGCAAAAATAAACGCGATAAAATCCGTAAAAGTATTTATAATCATGTGTAGTGTTCGCGGAAATATAATAAAACTACGTAAATTACAGTCACACTAAATCTGTAAAATCAAAACAAACTGAAATGGACCGTAACTTAAGGCAATAAGACTTTTAAGAGTGCAGTTTTATTTGTATTATTACTAATTCTGTCATTCAATAAAAATAAAGAAAAATGAACTTTATTTCAAGCACGTTAAAGTCTTTGCGTTCGTGGATTTGTACTGTGGCTACAACATTCTTCCGGAATTACTATTAGTATAACTAATTTGATAAATAATCAGCGCATAAAAATGTTTAACTAAAAATTCAGTGTATGTATTATGATTATAACATAATATACTAATTGGGGTGTCTGAGGGTGTGCGTTAATTACGTTACATATTGTATAAATTAAGACCTTCCGCCAGCGCCGTTAAATAAATTCGGAGAGAACTACGCCGGCTTCGCAGGTCGATGTAGTACTTGATAAACCGTGTAGATAGCACTGTTACAGAATAATTTCGTAATTTCATTTTGTGAGATTTGTTTATAGTAGAATAATAAGTTTATAAAATGACAATAAAAAAGTCGGGCGCGCATGTTACACGTAACGTTCGTACACATTGCAACGTAACTTATTATTTTGGCATGTGGTTTGTGTTTTTTCCTTTAATTTTTTACTTTATTACAGTTCTGTTTAAATTCTTTATGGCGTTGAGTTGATTAAATTTTGCTCCCGTATTAGCACAGACCACTTACTCCTTACACGGAACATAGAGAAGATAACTGTTGCTGTTGCTTTAATTGAGTTTATTTGCAGATCAAACGTAACAGATATTTTTTGGGGCGTTTGTACTTTTTTTTCTTTATGCCAGCTTGTACAACTTCCAGATTGTAAAGCGCCGTATGTAGAACAATTTATTTCGAAATACAGAGATTTCCCATAAATTCGGAAGAAAATCGAGAATAACATAGTAAAAAAACGATATAGTATTTTAAAATCAATAGATACAAAATCAATAGGTGAATACTCCCATTTTAGAGGTTATCAAATAATTGCAACTTTACGGTAAAAATATGGTAACACGAATCTGATAAATGAAA